TTGAACTTATTGATATGGCCACACGCATCTGGGATTATGAATTAAATGTGTTGACTTAAGTAGCCAAAAATGGTATTAATAGTCTGTTAGGTTGGCTAATCAAAGCCTGAACTCAACCCAAACTCTACAGTTAAAAAATGCCTGAAGTTCTCTGTAGAGAACTTTATACTGTAGAAAAAGGATTTCTAAAGGTGCAGGGGAATGCTTATGTTTGTTCAAATTATGTTTTATCTACTCAACCACCCACTGGCTGTCACCCCAGGAGTCCCCAGACAATATACTCTTCATTGAGTCATTAAGAAATAAGGGGAGTAGCAGAGTTCTTGACAAACTCTGTAGTGGCTGCCCTCTGTAGACTGGAGATGACAGTAGGGAAAGCTGTAATGGAATTGGTTCCCTTAGTTCACTGGGAATAATGGAACTTTGAAATGATAGAGGTCAGGCGGTGACACAAATTGCAGCTAAGCTTCCAGACGTGGTTTCTTTAATGGAGAAAATTAACACGGCCCCTGTCACCTGATATGCTGCTATTGACCTGGCAAATGTGTACTTTCTCATCCCAATCAATAAGCAAAAAGAGAAGCAGTTTGCATTTACCTGGGAAGAATAGAGTGTATCTTTACATCTTACTCTCAGAGCTATGTCAGCTCTCCTGCTCTTGTCGCTAGGGGCTTGCACATCTCAATTCCCATAGAACATCATTCCTGTCCATTATATCAGTGACCTTGTTTATACTAATCAGACACAGTGAGCAGAAAATAACAACGCCCTGGATGACTTAATAGAACAAATGCACACCAGAAGGAGGGAGATAAACTTCGCAAAATGTTAAGGGTCTGCCACGTAGTGAAGCTTACAGACATTTTGCGATATCTTTTCTAAAGTGAGAGACAAGTTGCTGTACCTTACATCATCCACCTTATAAGACACATACCACTTTGAGGGCTCTCTGGATTTGGGAGGTAAAATGTGCCACATTTGGGCATGCTGCTCAAACCCATTTACTAGGTAAACTAATAAGGCTACCAGGCTTAAGTTGGACACGGTGTGAGAAAGAACACGGCAGCAGGTCCACATGTGGTCAAGTTGCTCTACCACTTGGGCTTTATAGCCCAGCAGGCCCAACGGTATTTTTGGACGTGTCTGTGGCAGGCACTGAAATACTATATGGAGCCTCTAAAGAGTCCTAATAAGAGGATCACAGCACAGACCTATAGGGTTGAAGAGTAAGGTAATGCCTTCCTCTGCAAAAACTATTCTCCGTTTGAAAATCAGTTCCAGGCTTGCTACTGGGCCCTGGTAGAGACTGGATGTTTGACAATAGGATACCAAGTGCGATGTGATTATGAACTGACCTGGGTTTTATCTAATCTATTGAACCAGAAAACTGAGAGTATACAGCATCACTTCAATATAAAATAGATGTGGTATATATGAGAATGGGTCTGAGAAGGTCCAGAGGGCCAAAGTATGCTGCATGAGCAGGAGGCTCTGACTCCTTCAACACCTACTTGTGCTACATTGGCTCCTCTTCATCTCCCATACTTTTGGCTTCATAGGGAGTCCCCTTTGACAAGTTAACAGAGGAGAATATATTGGGTCTAATTCACCATGGATCTGCACAGAGTGCTGGCACCATCTAAAAATGGACAGTCACTAGATTACAATCCCTTAATTGGCCCAGAAAATGGTCAAAGGATATCCTCCCAGTGAGCACAACTGGAGATGGTACATCTGGTTTTCCACTTCATATAGAAAGGGAAATAGCTTGAGATATGGATCTTTTTTTAAAAAATTTTTTGTTTATTGCAGTAACATTGGTTTATAACATTGTATAAATTTCAGGTGTACATCATTATACTTCTATTTCTGCATAGATTACATCATGTTCACCACCAAAATACTAATTGCAACCCATCACCACACACTTGTGCCGAATTATCCCTTTCACCCTCCTCCCTCCCCGCTTCCCCTCTGGTACCACCAATCCAATCTCTGTCTCTATGTGTTTGTTTGTTGTTGTTATTATCTACTACTTAATGAGGGAGATCATACAGTATTTGACCTTCTCCCTCTGACTTATTTCACTTTGCATAATACCCTCAATGTCCATCCGTGTTGTCACAAATGGCTGGATTTCATCGTTTCTTATGGCTGAGTAGTATTCCATTGTGTATATATACCACATCTTCTTTATCCATTTGTCCCTTGAGGGGCACTTAGGTTGCTTCCAAGTCTTGGCTATTGTGAATAATGCTGCCATGAACACGGGGGTGCATGTATCTTTACACATTGGTGTTTTCAAGTTCTTTGGATAAATACCCAGCAGTGGAATAGCTGGATCATATGGTAGTTCTATCCTTAATTTTTCGAAGAATCTCCATACTGTTTTCCATAGTGGCTGCACCAGTTTGCACTCCCACCAGCAGTGTATGAGAGTTTCCTTCTCTCCACATCCTCTCCAACACATGTTGTTTCCTGTCTTGTTAATTATAGCCATTCTGATGGGCGTGAGGTGATATCTCATTGTAGTTTTGATTTGCATTTCCCTGATAGTTAATGACGTTGAACATCATATCCTTTCCAATTTCAACTTTGATTCTTACTAGGTCATTGCATTTTAACTTCTCTCCCTGTTGTGATGTTCAGAAAAACATTTCTTTAATGTTCTTTCTCTTTAAATTTCCTAGTGTAAAAAGAATGTAAGGGGCTGGCCCAGTGGTGTAGTGGTTAAGTTTGCACGTTCTGCTTCAGCGGCCCAGGGTTTGCAGGTTCAGATCCCAGTCGTGGAACTACACGCCACTCAAGCCGTGCTGTGGTGGCGTCCCACGTACAAAATAGAGGAGGATTGGCACAGATGTTAGCTCAGGGACAATCTTCCTCAAGCAGAAAGAGGAAGATTGGGAACAGATGTTAGCTCAGGGACAATCTTCCTCACCAAAAAATAAAAACATAAAAGGAATATGAGATCACTTTTGAGTGAATATATTGCAACATTACCTATAAAGCCAAATTTTATATTGTTTTTGTTTTCTTTTTAAAATACCACTCATTTATTTATAAAATAAGTTATGATTATTATAAAGTGATCTTCAGTTCTGACCACTATTTGAAATTCTGTTCCTACTTGCTAACCTGTTGTTGTTTTATGACTAGTATAGCCCACTTAATTATAAATAGTGACTAATTTGTAAAGAGTTCAAAACACGTTATTGGAATAATTATTATAATTCTCTTTAAAACAAAGTATGAGAGCAAAAATAGATATCTGAATTGTTGTATATCGCTGGTGTAAAAGGAAAAAGGAATATCATCCAGGTCTCCAAATCTAATCTTAAGTATTTGTATATTTGGGAAGGTAAAACATGGAGGAACTCATAGAAAAATACATTCAACCCTGGCCTTCCAGAAGTTCCTGATTTCTAAATGCATTTTTGTTGTGGCATGAGCTTTAGTTAATAAATCTGAGCCAGTGGGTACCATCATTCATCTAATACGTGTTTATTGAGTGCCTGTTATGTTCAGGGAATAGAGTATAGAGTGGAAGATTGAAAGTTCCATGAAGGAATTTTAACCTTACACAGTGCTTTGCACATGGTGGACACATAATAAATATTTATTAAATGAATGATTATGTGAATGAAGAACTATAGAAAAATTGTGAAATCATACTTTCTTACAATTTGTGCTCTTACTAAACAACATAAGTGAAGAGCCATGCTCCAGCATCTATAAAATGCGTTAGCTCTCATGGATCATTATCTATTTAAAGTCTGACAAAGCAGAGACTTCGTGAGGGCAGGGACATATCTTGCCACTGTCATATCCCTTGCCACCTCTGATTGTGTAAGCCTTCTTTTATTGAATGCTTACTATGTGCCTTTGTTCTAAATGCCTTACAGGGATTTACACTTCTAAACTTGTCAAGAATGCTAGGAGATAGTAGTATGATTACCATTTTAAGGAAGAGGACACTGAGGCCCAGAAAGGCTAGGTTATTTGACAAAGGTTATATAGCTAGTAAATCACAGAAGCAAGATTCAAAGCCAGATAGTTTGATACTAGAGTCCTAGCTCTACACCACCACTGTGCCGCTTCCTAATAAATGAGTGTCAAATTAGTAAATGAATTCAATGTCAGAATAGGTTAACCTTTAAAATAGAATACCAATGTAGATCTTAAAAAGAAAACCAAAAAAAAAATTGCTATATTCTAATATTCTTGGTAAGGATTACTAGCTTCTCTCTACTCACTCAGCTCATGTTCGGTGGATGCATTAATTTATGTGCTCAGACTAATATAAGATAGAACAGTGCTGTCAAAGGAGTATGGACTTGGAGTCAGATTTGAATGCTGGCTCTGATATAGATTTAGTACATAAACGATCTTGAAAAATTTCTTAACTTCTCTAAGTCTCAATTTTCTCATCCATAAAATGGGAATAAAAATAGCTGTCACAAATGTCTGTCTTTTTTAAGAGAATTAAGCAAGATAATGTATGAAAAGTACCTGACACAAAAAAAGATGTTAATATTTCTCTTCCCCTTTACCTCTTCCTCTCTTTCCTTTTCCCCCATTCCTTCCCTCTTCCTACCTGCTGTTAGCCACGTGACCTTGTAAAAGTTACTCAACTCTTCCAGGATTTATTTCCTCACCTATAAAACGAGTGGACTAGTTATTTGGTCTCCAAGATCCTTTGCCTCTGTAATTCTATGATTCAGTGATTTAATAACTTAGTTTTTCTTTGTATCATATAAATGTAACTTATTGAGAGGTGATTTTGAAATGAGGCTTCTCTGGTTAGTATGGTTGATTAAGTTGCTTTGTTTTTTCCAAAAGATCTCATCACATAGAACTTGGTGTAGGTGTATTTGAGTTAGATACGATAAAAACTTGGTTTAGTATGTAAATAGTTTCACAGCAACAATATGTATTAACTGCATTTACTAGTAATCACCTATTCCAAAGGGTTTGTGTCTCCCTTGCTTTCCTCTATTTAGGTACTACACAGGAAACCTGGAGGCTAAGTCAACAAATCGTGAAACTCTAGGTTTAATTCACACAGCAACGGAAGGACTAATAAGAGCTATTGAAGATGGTGGAATAGATTCTGTGATGGAATGGGAAGTGGATGAAGTGCTGAACTGGACAAATGCACTGAACTTTGATGAGTAAATATGTCTTGCTATTCTTGGGGAGCAAGGGTAGGCATCAGTATTTTTCTTCCTAACATTTCCCAATCCCATGTTGAATCTTGGGGCCACAGACATAATCTTCAAAAGAGAGTATTTGTTATTTGTCTAGAAAGAAAAGAAGAAGAAATGAGGGAGAAAGATTAAAAAAATGGTTGATCTAAAAGTAGAAAAAAGAAAATTAGACTTAGATGTTCTTTAGTCTCAGACTTTATTCTTATGCCTTAATCTAAATCTGCTTTACTTCTTACTTTGGATTTACAAACAAGGCTAAGAACATGAAATTAATAATACAAAGAATTTCCTCAATCTGTATTCCCTAATCTTTCTGTTTGAGACATTAAAAAGTTATAATTTTTCAGTAACATACTATGGTCCTTGAAAAACATTTGTAGGAATTTTTTGTGATGGAAATTTTTACAATATTTAATATAGCCATCAGGGAAATACAAATCAAAACCACAATGAGATCTTACTTCATACCCACAAAGATGGCTATAATTAGAAAGACAGTAACAAATGTTGAAACGGATGTGGAGAAATTGGAACCCTTATATACTGCTAGTGGGAATGCACAAAGGTGCAGCCATTTTGGAAAACAATCTGGCAGTTCCTCAAATGGTTAAACATAGAGTTTCCAGATGATCCAGCAATTCCACTCCTAAGTATATAAAGAGAAATGAAAACACATATCCACGCAAAAACTTGTACGTGGTTGTTCACAGCAGCAGCATTTATAACAACCAAAAAGTGGAAACAACCCAAATATTCATCAACTGATGAATGGATAAATAAAATTGGTGTATCCATACAGTGGAATATTATTCAGCAATAAAAAGAAATCTGATACATGCTAGAGTACTGATGAACCTGCTAAGTGAAAAGCCAGTCACAAAGGACCGCATATTATATGGTTCCATTTAAAGGAAATGTCTAGAATAGGCAAATCTATAGAGACAGAAAGTAGATTAGTAGTTGCCCAGGGCTGGGAGATTTGTGGGGATTGGGAGGTGATGGCCAAGGCGTATGGAGTTTTTTTTTGGAGTAATGAAATGTTCTAAAATTGATCATGGTGATGGATGCCTAACTCTATGAATACACTAAAAGCCACTGGATTGTACACTTTAACTGGGTGAATTGTATGGTATGTGAATTATATCTCAATAAATCTTTAAAAAATATTTAATATTTACTCAGCTACAATAATGAATGTGAATATTGCATGGATGAAGAGGCAGAAAAATTAAAATGAAGATGGTATAAGTAAAGAAACATAAGAAAAAGGAGAAATTAGGAAGAGGGAGATAAGAAAATGGGATAGGAAAAATCAAGTTGGTTGTCATTGAACAATAGAACAGGAAAAAGAGGCCAGAGGAAGCAGAGAAGAGAAAATGAGAAAAGGAAAGATAAGAGAAAAGAAGAAAAAATGGAAAGAATAACTAAGAAAATAGGAAAACAAGAATAAAAGAAAAAAGAATATATTGATGGGAAGGATATATTAGAAAATAAAAAGGGAAAGATAAGAAGAAATAAAAAACTAATTATCCATAGTAGATGCTTTAAAATATTTTGTAATAAATAAATAGTAAAAACAAACAAATAGTAAAAAAAATTTTTTTTAAATAATCTCTTTTTATTGGACCCCAATATCTTGTCCAGACCGTTGTACTGGGATTCCTTATAGACAGCACATTTGTGGTTTCTGGGGGGCACTGATTAAATACAGATGGTAATAATGAAGAAAGAAATGACATCCAAAGAAAGGAACTATAATGTTGTACTCCTATGTCCTTTCCTAAGAATAAAAATTGCTGGGGAGAGATAGGCAGGGGAGGTCCATTTTGAATGAGCTTCTGAGGACAGAATAGAGACATCTCTCAGGTGAGCTTTTGAAATCCTGCCCTGCATTTCCCTTATACAGTTCAAGCAAAGGGCCAGCAAGCTTCAGTGAAAGATTGCAAAAAAGTATCACTACTGGAATACAAAAAGAATAAAACAGTTGAGTTCAAAGGGAAGAAAGAAACAGCCATCTCAGTCTACATAATACTTTCCCCACTATCATCCCCTAATACCCTTCTCTGCTAGTGGTGAAGATTCCTAATGGCTTCCTTATGTGGAAAAAAAGATAAAAACAGAATAAACTCATAAGATTTGAAGTGGTTTTTTTTGGGGCCGGCCCCGTGGCTTAGCGGTTAAGTGCGTGCGCTCCGCTGCTGGCGGCCCGGGTTTGGATCCCGGGCGTGCACCAACGCACCGCTTCTCTGGCCATGCTGAGGCCGCATCCCACATACAGCAACTAGAAGGATGTGCAGCTGACATACAACTATCTACTGGGGCTTTGGTGGAAAAATAAATAAATAAAACGAAGTGGTTTTTTTGTATCATGTATTCTATATGGAGTGGGATGAATACACCTAGCTTTGATATGGTAGGACTAACTTTCCATTCCTAAATGAAAATTTCCATTTTTGAAAATGCAGATATCTTATGTTTCCAAATTACATACAACTTCTATCAGTTCATTCTCTGACTTGGGCATAATTGTAATTTGGCACCAACTTGGAAATCTTAGAAAGTGAGTTTCTATTGAGCCCTGGACAACAAAAAAATTTCAAGTGCAATCCAGCATGATTATTTGGGAATATTTCAGAGCATTACTGACTACAAGCTACTGATTATCTCAGGCAAAACCAAACTTCACAAAGACCTTTTCCCAGCTGACTACAGACATTAGGTGTAAGCACCTTCTTCCCAGTGCATTTATGGTCTCCACAGTCTACTTTCCTGTTAGGTCTTTGTAGTTGTCTGCTATTCATAACTGGCTTGATGACACCTTGTTTGATGAAAATTTCAGAGTCTAATGTTTTTCCCTTCAGGAGAATTGGTAGCCACTAATTCCTTGGAGAGTATCCTTCAAAATCTATGGACAGTTTTTGATAGTTGGACCATTAGAATGACATAAATGTGTTGAACACTGATATTGAGTGATACAAACCAGTTTCTTCCCAAGAGACTTTTGTGCTAGCCCCTTGTTAATGATAGATGGACACTCTCCTGTAAAGAAGCCATGCACGTCCTCAGATGCACATTGCAACAATATCAACTGTGTACAATATTATTATAATTTTGAAGAATGGATAGAGGCAACTTCACTCTTGGATCAAGGACACTGCTGAGTACTGTTGCAAATTCTGGGCTATCCAGAGATATGTTGCTGCAGGCGCTTAGAACATAAAACAATCCCTGCATCACCATCGAGTCACCACAATGCCACGTGATGGCTACTGTGACCGTTGCTGGCATTCATCCTGCTGGATTTTCAGGGGCATATTCTCTATCAAGATGGAGGTTCCTCTTCCAAGATCTTCATATTTTTCAAACTGCAAGTGAATTTGGATATAACCTGTTAAGTGATCAGCAGCTGGGATATCCTAAATAATTTCATGATATTCTATTAACTCTGTTGGTGAGAGCTCTTTGCCTGTATGTGTTATGGGTAGTTTCTATATCTGAAGCTGCTCCTTTGATTTCTAGGACATATAGTTATGTGACCTCTCTGGCTCGGACCTTTCTCAGACCACTAAAATGTTAAATTTGTACTCCTGAGGGATTCATTGTAGATTCTATATATACTTTATTCTACAATTATTATCTAAAAAAATTCCAAAAATTTCTTAGTGAGAAAGACAGATGAGCTCTATTGATATATGCAGCATGGTAACACTATCATCAGACTGTTGCTTCTATCTGTAAAACTTAGATTTCTTATTAGTTATTGCTAGTATGTTCTCTATAAGTTCTTTTTAAATAATTGAATAAATTCACGTCCTAATCTCAGGTAAAGCAGGGTCAATGATCAGCCTTAAATATGGCATATGTTTGTGCCCCACACTGTCAGGGCTTAGCATACAATTGATCAAGGTCTTTTATCTTGGTTCCTTGAAGGTGGAATGAAAATCTTTCCATATATAAATCCAAGGAAGCAGAGTGATTAACATCAAACTCATAGAGTTCAGCAACCACTGAGAGCACAAAGTCTGCCTGAATTTAAGGTCATGACAGATTGAATGGTCTACTAAGAGATCCTGGAAGGGGTTTACACACCCTGCTGTTATCCTGCATCTTTTCCTTCAGTAGTGACCCAGCAGTATCCCATTTAAGGCCATAGAATGAAGTTCTTAAAGCAACAAGAGGTAGCAATAACAAGAAGGAGTCGACTATAGACACAGTACAGTCATGCATTCCTTAACAACAGGGATACGTTTTGAGAAATGCTTTGTTGAGTGATTTTGTCATTGTGTGAACATCATAGAGTGTACTGAAGGGGAACAATATTTGCCACTCTAAAATGTGTCCCTTTAACATGAGGATTATTTTAGGCTGATTATTTTTAAGAAACAAAAGACTCAGCAAGTTTTTCTTGTTACCTCCCCCTTAACTGCCTAAAAGAATTCAGATAAAAAACCTGTCTCAGGAGGTGAGCTATCACCTTAGCATAACATGAACTAGGTGGTAGACAGGGAGGAACCTAGAAAAGCCTGTTTGTTGGGCTCCCCTCTGTGTTCTTCTGATTCTGTGTGGCCAAACTCTTGTTTGCCAGACATTTCTCCTTTCACCTACCTGTGAATTACTTACCTTTGAAGTGCCTGACTCTCCTTACCCCCAACATCTTCTTTTATCTTTACCTGAGAATAGTATTTAAGGTGAGGGCTTCAGCCATTTTGGCAAGTTACTTGGTTTTCCTGGGTTTCTCCCATGTATACATGTTATTAAACTTTTGTTTGTTTTTCTCCTATTAATCTGTCTTGTGTCAATTTAATTCTTAGACCAGAAGAACCTAGAAGGGTAGAGGAATATTTTTCTTCCTCCCCTATAGTACTTACACAAACCTAGATGGTATAGCCTACTACACACCTACGCTATATGGTACTAATCTCACGGGACCACCATGGTATATGTGGTCCATCGTTGACTGAAACGTCATTATGCGGGCATGACTGTACTTTATTACAATTAAATACTGTTGAATATATATACCTTCCTATATCAAAACACTTCAGGAACACAAAGTTAACAAAAGTTTAAAGTAATTCAAATCAAATAAATAGACACTTGGGAAATCACAGTGTTTTCTGAATTACATGACAATTCTGATCCTCCTCAATTTTTCTCTGCCAACTTGCTTTCAGCACATGCTGTGAGCAACTCCTTACCTGATTTCTTGAGTGCAGTTGAAAGAAAGAGGCTTGGGAAAGGGGGATACAGAGCCTAAAATGAAATGGAACAAGTCACAGGAAACCTGCTTCTTGGAGCTTTCCCTCATCTTTGTAGCTCATCATACTTTGTTCTTCCCTATTTTACTTCTTCTCAGGCTACCCTTGTCTCCCTATTTTAGTCTCTGTTTAGGGAACTGAGATGGCAGCTGCATGTGCCTTCCTTGAATGTAACCTCATATTTACTGGACACACCAAAGACAGCATTGTTGCTCTAATAAGATCATAAGCCGCACACTTTAAATTTCCATTGACATGTCAGAGATAGTAGGTCTGGCAATCCAGAACCAAGGAGAAAGTTTGTGGTTGCTGTTGCTGTTTTCCCCTCTCAAAAGACACTCAACTGAGGACATGATCTTGCAGGAATGGAACAGGATAAAATAAGGGGAGGTGTGCTGGTGGGAGACCAAAGAGCACTAATATGGTAGATGGTGGGCACATTTTTATACCGTCTCTAACACCTTGTCCTAGGGATTGTCTTAGGAGCATGGCAGCTACTTGGAGGTGGGAAAGTCATGAGAATTAAACATTTGGACTAGTGAATTTATTACCATTAATCTGAGATTTCATAGAGAAAGTGAAATTTTAGAAGTAGTCTAATAAGCGTGTACTGACGAATCAATTTCTTACTTACTAATAAATCAGTTAACTTAATGCCCATATAATGTGCTTAGGTACATTGCCAACTGGAAGGAAATTGCTACAAGCAACTCTTCAGCTAACTTCAAAAGTAGGTGATTTTTAGCAATACTTTATGGGAAGTTCTTGTGAACAAAAATGATACATTCCACATATGTACACATTTCTAAGCACCTAACATTTCCATGCCCTGCACTGTATATAGACAGATGAATTTGCCAAGTCATTTTTACCTTTATATGTAAGATGGTTATTTGGGAATAGAAAGAAATTTTTGATTTTATTTAGGGTTGGATAAAATGGTTTAAAAAAAGTGAATCCTCTTTTTAAAAAAAGTTGCATGCATATCTTGTGGTTTCAGTAATAATTTTTAATGAGCAAACTTCACTTGGCAAAATAAATGCCTCAAAATGTTACAAATATTTTTTAGGTTCTATGCCACTATTGTCCTGCCAGTGGTCCACAATACCAAAAAACTGAAAGTGATAGCAGCTGAAGAAGCATATCATTATACCCCAGAAATATCAATAATTCTAACATAGACAAAACCTAATTATGGTTATTGTACAATCTGAGTGTATGAGTTCTGTCCCGTGATCATCGTGAGAGGCAGTAAATCAGAGAGGTTACAATCATGCAGAGTTGATTCAGAATGCCTGGTTTTGATTTCTGGCTCTACTGTTTACTGGCTGTGCGATCTTGGGCAATTCACTAGCTTAGTTTCTCATCTGTAAATTGAGAATAACAATAGTACTTAGCTCATCGGTTGTTGTGAGGTAATAAGAGATAATACATTTTAAGAGCTTAGAATAGTGCCTGGCACATAATATGTGTTCTATAAATGTTAGCTACCATTAGCCTTAACCTATCCACTTATTTCCAATTCATTGCCACCACCACAATTCAAGCTGCCATCATCCCTCTGCAAGTTTCTGCAACAGCCTCTACACTGATTCCTGCAGTGCATTCCCGACACAACAGATGGTGATCTTTCACAGATTTAAATCAGTGCAATTAAAATGCTTATTTAACAAACACTTTTTTAGCAATTACTATGTGGAAGTGCTGTCTTAAAGTGCTTTATAAAATTAACTCGTTGATCTTCAGACCAACCCAATGAGACAGGTTCTATGATCTGCATTTTACAGATGAGCAAAGAAAGAGATGCCCCGTTACTTGCTCAAGGTCACATAGTCATTTCCTGTGAGGGGCAGGATTTGAAATGAGGCAGGCTAGCTCCAGAACCCTTGCTCTTGGCTAAGACTACCTCTGCTGCCTTTCATAGTTGTCCTCTGCACTTGGAATAAAATCCTAACTTTATCATAGCAGTCTGGCTCTGGCTCTGGCCTAGATTTCCACCCTCATCATGTCCCACTCTCCCCCTCACTCACAACAACCCCGCATCACTGGCCTCTTGCCTGTTCCAGAACACACTCTGTGGTTTCCACTTCAGGGATTTAATGGAGTTGATGGGCTTCTAGAGAACAGTTTTAGGTAACTATCTTCACTTGAGGGTGGGGAGTTGTCTGTTTTGTTCACTACTGAATCTCCAATGTGTAGCACATAGTAGGTTCTCAATGCCAGATAAAAGAATATAAAGGAATGACAAGTACAAAAATGGAAACAGAGAATATAAATTACTGAGTTAAAAGATATTACTGTGAAAAGAAGGAAAGATATAGCGTGGTAATTGGAAGGAGCATAAGAGCAACTGAAAATTATTTTAAGCAATGGAGATTTACATTATAACTTTACATTATAACAGGTGATACACTGAAGATCTTGGCGTGGAGAAGAGGAGAAAGTGTGTGCCTCTTCCTCAAGAAGCATCAGGAAATCAAATCCAGAGATTTAGAAACTTTAGCTCTAGTGAGAGAAAAGGCTTCTGTTTATTTGTGAATAAAGAACTGATAGTTATTAGTTAATTGTGGAGCACTAACTAAATGCTAAGTTCTTTACATGCACCATCACAATTAATTCTCACAAAAATATGATGAGGTGTGTGCTATTATTATTCACACTTAATAGACGAGGACACTGAGACTTAAGAGAGGTTAAGTAACTTGCCCCAAATTACACAGCTAGTTAGTAGTAGTAGGTCAAACCTCAAACCCAGGTCTTACACAGCCTTTTGTAGAGATGGACAAGGAAATATGATAGTGAAAAGTAGGACAGACTCAGAAATTTGGGACATTTATGGTTTCAGTTAAATAAGATATAAAGTTAATTGTTCTAAGAGGGTGAAAAGGAATGTGGAAGAGACCTTACCTGGCATGTAGTAGCATATGGAATGAGTCTTTACCTTATCACATCTGGCATCTTTCTAAACATTTCTAAACATCTGTCACTCCTCTCTAGGTTTCAGGTTTGATCAACCACAGAAAAAAATACATGACTATGAAGATTTATCTGAGGCAGAAATGGGAACACCAGAAGATACTTCATATAAAAATACTTATGATGAACCAAATTTTACCAGACCAACAGCTGATTCCACTTAAAGAATATAAATATAGAGTGTTTTCTTTTCTCTTTTGAGCTATAGCCCTTCAAGTCCTGATTCCCATCAGTTACAGTCAAGGGATAGTTTATTCTCACTGGAATGACTTGTATATTCTTGGCATCGAATCTACCCCAATTAAGTAAAAAAGGTTATACAGAAATAGAGCATTGGACTGAATACAGGGGTCATGGAAAATGTGGAAATTACTTCTGGTATTCTGAGAAACTGTAGTATTCTAACAGTTTAAGTCACACTTAAATAAAGATATTATACTGAGGTGCAAAAAAATCTTCAGATTGATTTTTTTCTTCATTTGAAGCATTCTTTATTTGTGCATTTGTATCAAGCAGAGCTCTTTTTTCATTAAAAAAGGGCCATGTATCAAGTTCTCCTTTTATTAGGAAAACAAAGCCTTACTAGAAGCCCCAGCCCCAGTCACCTTAGGCATCCTTGGACAAAACTAGGTCACGGGGGCACCCTTAGCTAAAGAAGCTAGAGCAGCAAAAATCTGTCTTTCAGCTTCCACGGTGGGATGAGTAGAGGACTGGCGATGACTGTTGGGTGAAGGAACAGAATCCACCACACCCTCCAAGTCTGAATTACTGTATGCTCCCATAAGCATCCTCTACTACTACCCATCATCACTCTTATCACACTGTATCTTTTTTTTTTCCTGAGGAATATTCGCCCTGAGCTAACATCTGTGCCAATCTTCCTCTACTTTGTATGTGGGTTGCCACCACAGCATGGCTGACGAGTGGTGCAGGTCCCCGCCCAGGATCCTAACCCACAAACCCAGGCCGCTGAAGCAGAGTGTGCCAAACTTAACCACTAGGCCATGGGGCCGGCCCCTATCACACTGTATCTTTAAAAATCTGCCTGTAATCCTAATAGACCAGAGGCTTTTCCCCCCAAGTATAAAAAATCAGCAGTCAGAAGACCTAATGTATATTTAAGAAACAAATTAGATTTATTGAGATATAATTTACATACAAAAATTCACCCATTTTGAGTGTTCACTTTGAGTTTTGACAAATGTATATAGTCATGTACTTCTCACCACAATCAATATATAAAGCATTTCCATCACCCCCACATTGTGCGTCTTTGCAGTCAATCCACTCCCCGCACCCTAAACCCCTGAAAACCACTGATCTCCTTTTAATCTCTATAGTTCTGCCTTTTCTAGAATGTCATATAAATGGACTGATACTATATGTAGTCTTTTTTGGTCTAGCTTCTTTCATTTAGCATAATGCTTTTTTGAGATTCATCCTTGTTGCTTATATTAGTAGTGCATTCCTTTTTTTTTTTTTTTGGTAGGGAAGATTAGCCCTGAGCTAACAGGTGTGCCCATCTTCCTCTATTTTGTATGTGGAATGCTGCCACAGCATGGCTTGATGAGCAGTGCATAGGTCCGCGCCGAGGATCCGAACCTGCAAACCCCGCCTGCTGAAGTGGAGCGTGCGGACTTAACCACTAAGCCACTGGGCCAGCCCCAGTAGTTCATTCCTTTTTTAATGACTAGTGTTCCGTTGTATGGCTATACCACAGTTGGTTTATCCATTCACCAGTTGATGGACGTTTGGTTGTTTCCAGTTTGGGATCATTATGAATAAAGCTGCTATGAACATTCATGTACAAGTCTTTTTGGGGACATATGTTTTCATTTCTCTTGGGAAATACATGGGAGTGGAATTGCTGGAGCAAGCCATAACTGTATGTTTAACTATTTTGTAAGAATCTGTTTTTCTAAAGTGGCTATACCATTTTGCATTTCCCCCAGCAATGAATCAGTTTCAGTTGCTCCACTTGGTTTTTGTCACTTGTTGTCAGATGTTTCAATTTTAGCTATTCCATTGGATGTATAGTGAATGGCATCTCATTGTGATTTTAGTTTGCATTTCCCAAATTACTTCTGATGTTGAGCATCTTTAATGTGCTTATTTGACATTTGGAGATCTTCTTTAGCAAAGTGTCTGTTCAAATCTTTTGCCTATTTTTAATTAGGTTGTTTATTTTCTTATTATTTTGTTAAAAGACTTTTTAATATATTCTAAAAACAAATCGTTTATTGGAGACTGTTTTGCCAGTCTGTGGCTGCTGTTTTCATTTTCTTAACAATGTCTTTTGAGGAGAAAAAGGTTTTAATTTTTATAAAGTCCAAGTTACCATCTTTTCTTTTATGGTTCACGCTTTTAGTGTCTTATCTAGGAAATCTTTGCTTAAACCAAGGTCACAAAGGAGATATATGAATTTTATAATTTTAACTCTCACATTTAGGTATATCATCCATTTCAAGATAATTATTGTATATAGTGAGAAGGAAGGTTTGAGATTCATTTTATTGCATATGGATATGCACCAGTTTTTGGAAAGACTATCTTTTCTCTATTCAATTACCTTGGAGCCTTTGTTGAAAAGCAATTAGTTATATATGCAGGTCTATTTCTGAATCCTTATCCTGCTCCATTGATCTGTGTGTCTTATCTTGATGACAGTGCCACCTTGGATTTGTTACTATGACTTTAGTGTAAGTCTTCCAAACTTGTTTTTCCTTTTCAGAATTGTTTTGGCTTATTCTAGTTCCTTTGCATTTCCATACAGATTTTACAATCAGATTATAAGTTTTAAAAGAAAAAAAAAGTCTGCTGGGACAGTGATTGAATTGCATGGATTCTATATATCAATTTGGGAGAGAATTACTGTCTTAACGATATTGAGTCTCCCAATTCATGAACATGGTACATCTCTCTGTATATTTAGGCCTTTGTTTTCTCAGTAATGTTTTGTAAATTTCAGTGTACAGATATTTAACATATTTTATTAAAATTATGCCGGTCATGTTTTCTGATGCTCTTGTTTTTGTTTTTGTTTTTTAATAATTTTATTTATTTATTTTTTTCCCCCAAAGCCCCAGTAGATAGTTGTATGTCATAGCTGCACATCCTTCTAGTTGCTGTATATGGGATGCGGCCTCAGCATGGCCGGAGAAGTTGTGCCTTGGTGCGCGCACGGGATCCGAACCCGGGCCGCCAGCAGCAGAGCATGCACACTTAACCGCTAAGCCACAGGGCCGGCCCTGATGCTCTTGTTTTTAAATTTCAATTTCAAATTGTTCATTGCTGGTGACAGAAGAAAATTTCACAGACACTTAATTTCTTGATCTAGTTGACTTTTATTTAGCAATTCATAAATTGGGAAGCATCCACTCTAGAAAAGAGGAGCTTCCAGGAGTTGTACAAAGCAAGAGGGTTTCAGAGACCAAAGTGAGCAGGAACAAGGAAGTTATACTGGACAATTGTTAATTGGTTAAAATAAGTTTACTTTCCTTATATGGAGCAAGGGAAGTTTTAGAGCTGGTTCAGGTATATTTGTGCTGAGCAGGCAAGTGCTGAATGATTGGCTTAGACCAACCTTTTCTGGGGGAGTTGAGCATACAGACTTAGTTAAGTTTCAGTTTGCTGACGTGGGGCTTAGCATAAGCGACTCTATCTTGGGCGTAGTGTAGACACTTTTAACACTTGTATATAGAATTATGGTTGATGTTTTGTATATTGACCCTTATCATGTGACCTTGTTCAACTCACTTATTAGTTCTAGACTTTAAATATATAGAATATTTAGGATTTTCTACATAGATGATTATATCATCTGTAAATGAAGATAATTTCTTCCTTTTCAAACTGTTATGTCTTTTCTTTCTTTCTCTCTGCCTTATTGCATGGCTAGAAACTCCAGTACAATGTTGAATAGAACTAGTAAGAGCGGCATCTTTGCCTTGTAACTGATCTTAAGGGGAAAACATTGTCTTTCACCATTAAGTGTGATGTGGGCTATAAGTTTTTCATAGCTGTCCTTTATCAAGTTGAGAATGTTTCCTTTACTCCTAGTTTGATGAATTTTTATCATGAATGTTGAATTTTGTCACATGCTTTTTCTGCATCTATGACACGATCATATGGTTTTTGTTAGTTTATTAACATTGATTTTCAAATATTAAGCCAACCTGGTACTCCTGAAATAATGCCATTTGGTCATGATGTATTATCTCTTTTTTATATTGATGGAATTGATTTACTAATATTTGTAAGGACTTTTGCATCTATGTTCATGAAGAATATTGATCTTCAGTTTTCTTCTAATTCTTGAAATTTTTGATATAAGGGTAATGCTGGCCTCATAAAATGGGCTCTTCTAATATTGGGAAGTTTGTGTAGCATTGGTATTATTTCTTCCTTAGAAGTAGAAGGCATTGACTCATCAGGATTATTTTCAGATTTTTTTTCCTTTTCATGACATGAGTATGTTTGAGATGCCTATGAAGACCATTTGTCCATGTTGCTTTACACTGCAATGATTTAGAACAAATCTACAACCAGCTGACTACCCTTTTCTCTCTTAAAATAGTTCTAACCCTTACAATCATGGATATCTAAAAAAATTAAGAAATAAGAAATATTAAGTTCAGTACTATGTACAAAGTGGTTCTATAAGCATATCTAAGTCACAGAAACAGATTTCAAAATTGTCAATTGATTGACATATTTTGCTTTTAAAACACATTATTTCTTGCAGTACCACTTACAAACTTTGCATAAAGTATACAATGCTTTTACTTTCAAGAATGACTCACCCACACCCATTAGGATGGCTACTATTAAAAAACAAACAGGTGTTGCTGAGGATGTTAAGAAATTGGAACACTTGTGCGCTGTTGGTGGGAATGTGAAATGGTGTAGCTGCTATGGAAAACAGTGGTTCCTCAAAAAATTAAAAATAGAATTACCATACGATTCAGCAATTCCATCTCTGGGTATATACCCAAAAGAATTAAAATCGGGATCCTGAAGAGATACTTGTACATCTATACTCATAGCAGATTATTCATAATAGCCAAAAGGGAAAAGCAACCCAAGTGTCCATCAATGGATGAATGGAAAAACAAAATGTGGTATATGAAAACAATGGAATGTTATTCAGTCTTAGAAAAGAAGGAAATTCTGACATAAAACAACATGGATGAACCTTTAGGATATTATGTTAGTGAGATAAGCCAGTCACAAAAAGACAAATACTGTATGATTCACTTATAGGTGGTAGCTAGAATAGTCAAATTCATAGAGACAGAAAATAGAATGGTGGTTGCCAAGGGCTGGGGGGAGGGGAAAATGGGGAGTTGTAGGATGGGTATAGAATTTCAGTTGTGCAAGGTAAAAAGAGTGCTGGAGATTGGTTGCACAACAATGTGAATGTACTTAACACTACCGAACTGTACACTTAAAAATGGTTAAGATGGTAAATTTCATGTGTATTTTACCATAATTTT